AGAACTTACCCAAGATAGCCAGTGCATATAACAGCAGTGTTCACACCGCTACAGGCCGTACACCAAATGCACTGCACAAGGGGTGGAAACCTAGGCGTCCCATTTACGTGTTAACACGGGACCAGTTCCTTAGGTTACCTCCAGGGACACGAGAGAATGCAGTTTTGTTTCAAGAAGACATAAAGAAGTTAAAAGATAATTTAAAGAAAGCTCGGGACGAGATGATCGAACAAGCGAATAAACATCGTCGACCATCTACCTTTAAGGAAGGTGATTTCGTCTGGGTAATGTGTCTCAGAAACTTCTGCCTGTCTATTTTGGACCCTGGGAAGTTCTCAAAGTAATAGGAGATGCAGAGGGACCGTCTTATCGAATTGATATTCCCCCTCATCTCAAAACATACCCTGTCTTTCACGCGTCCAAATTGTACCGTATGTAGAAGGAAATAAGTTTCCACATAGACCTTCTATGATTCCACCACACATGGATGGCGGATATGAGATAGACCGAATCATAGAGTATGGTTACTTCTCTACTGGAGGACGTGGACGACCTCAGAAGCAGTTCAAGGTATGTTTTAAGTCTCAAGCACCATCTGAGGACAAATGGTTTAGTAAAAGAGAACTACCAGAAACTGTTCCTGATATTGTTGCTGCTTATGAACGAGGGTTAAAGTCTTAAGAATTTCTGCGGTGGAACTCGAAAATGGGCCGGCAGGAATGCAGTAACCCTGTTCAGAAGTAGTCTGGGGCCCAGAACTCAGCCCCAGGCAACGCAGACCAAAGTTGGTCTGCGCTGGGTTGTCTGACCAGGACACGCCCAGGTCTGAGTCTGTCGCGTTTGGCTGTGTGACCAAACGCTGCACTCAAGAAAGTCAAGAGTCAAAGTCAACTGTAGAGTCAAAGGTACCACGCCCAGGCCCTTGGTTGGATACACTCACTTGTTGTGCGCAGGTACCCAGACAAGCATCCAGGCCAAAGGGAATTCAGTTTCAGGCCAATCTGGGCCTTCGTTTGCATCAAGATCTGGACGACTAAAGGTTGCAGCATCCGGGGTCCAGACCCCGAGTCAACGCTACTTAAGCGTTGACCTTCCTGGCTTTGACATTCATTCATTCTGTCTTGCGTTGATGCTGACTTCACGCATTGACTTCAATGCTGGCTCGACGCTGCGACGCTGGCATTTGTGATTCGACGAGGCGCTGCTCGTCCGGCATGGTGGCTGGCTTGCACCTGTCTTCTTGGCATGCTGACGTGGCAACTGCCATACGCTGTCGCTGATGTGGCCGCTGCCACAAGTATTATTGGATGACGTGGTTGCTGCCACTGTTCTACTGTGGGACGAGGCGAGGCTACGGGACGTGTATTGCTGTTTTGATTATCGTCATTCAGGAGGAGATCAGGACTGTGGAGAGATCGTGGATACGTACTTGATGGTCTTCATGTCGACATTGCTCCAGCGCTGATGAGGGACTAATTAGACGTGCCACGTGGCACATTGAGATTACTTCAGATACTTGTTCAGACTATTGACTGAGGTGGTGATTGAGGAGGGAGCCCGAAGCATGAGTGGGCCTATTTCCTCTCCTTTGTCTAATCTCCCTCCTCTCTTCGTCTGTGTATGATATCTCATCTCATTCTGTCTGGATACGATTTTGACTATTGATAATCATTAGTTGTTTGACATTCATCTGGGCTTGCATTGTCGACAATTGTCTTCACAATCTGGGTTCATTGCAATTACAATAAACGAATCAACGCAAAGGATTCCTATAAAATTTTCGGAATAATTAAGCGACTAAAAATTCGAAATTTTTGAAATAAAGAAAAATCAAGAACTTCAGCTACTAATTAACGCGCGATTCAAAATTTCCAATAAATTCGCAAAAAAAATAACAAGATCCAGGGAATATTCCAATAAATTCGCAAAATAATTTTCTCGTTTGAAAAGTAATTTCGCTGAATAACCCTGATAATTGGCGGACATAAATCTATGGAGCTTTTCGATTTTCAAGAAAATAAATCGCGGAAATAACTAGGCTACCAGCCGGGCCGCCCGGGTCCCGGGTGGCCATCCCGTGCAAGGACCAGGGAAGGTCCCAAAAGAAAAAAACAAAAACAAAAAAATCCAAAAAAATTGAAAAAAAAACTATGTCATGAAGAAAAACAAACTAAACAACTTTTGCCTCACGGTCACATCGAAATTCTTCACCAAATTTGGAATAAAAAACAAAATTGAAAATTATTTTTTTATTTTTTATTTTTTTGGCCCGGTCGGGCAAGTGACCTCGGGCCACTCTGTTAGCCTAGGGAAATAATAAATAAATCCGCGGAATATTCTGATTTTTCAAGAAAAAATAAATCACGGAAATAAACAAATAAATCCGCAAAATATTCCGATTTTTCCAAAAAAATAAATCGCGGAAATAAATAAATAAATCCGCGGAATATTCCAATTTTTCAAGAAAAATAAATCGCAGAAATAAACAAATAAGTCCGCAAAATATTCCTAAAAACTAAATCGCAAAAATAAACAAATAATTTCGTGGAATATTTCGATTTTTTAAGAAAAATAAATCGCGGAAATAAACAAATAATTTCGTGGAATATTCCGATTTTTCAAGAAAAATGAATCACGAAAATAAACAAATAAATCCGCGGAATATTTCGATTTTTCAAGAAAAATAATTCGCGAATTCTTCGGGGGAATTTATGATTTCGTAGAAAACGAGTTTGCACAAAAGGACAACTAGGGAGAGTTACGATTATCAAGAAATAAATAATCTATCTATCCATTAATCGATTCAATAATAACGGATTAATCAATCAATCAATCAATCAATCAACTAATCAATCAATCAATCAATCAATCAGTCAAACCTAATTACCCAACCAACCAATCAATCAATCAATCAGCCGATCGGTCGATCGGGTTGATTGATCGATCGATAATCTGGGAGTCCAGATTCACAAGTGCAGCTCCGATACCAACTGATACATGCTCAGTCGAGCAATGTATATGGAGCCAAGGATCCGCAAAGTGATGAAAAGGACTCGTATGGACAATGCAGTGTCAGCAAAGCATCAACCAGCAATGTACCTCTAGAAAATAGCACAAAGTAGCGCAACGGAAGACTCAAAGATATGTCCTGACCGATCAAATATTGACACGACCTCCCATCATACATCACACATGTGAGAGGAAGAGGAGGTCCCTCCTCGTACACACACATGGGGAAGATACCACGGATGAGAGATGGGGGAGAGGCATGATGAAGATGGAGGTGAGGAAGAAGACCAAGATCGCGATAGCGACGTCCAGAAATAGCCTCCCTGCCGAATGTCCAATCAATGTCCGCCACAAAATGTCGAATCAGATCCTGAGCCAATGCCTGATGTAACCTCTGCCTGTAACCTCTCTCTCTCTCTCTCTCTGAAAGAAGAAGAAGAAGAAGGAGGAGAAAGGAGGGAGAAAAGATGGAGGGTGAGACGAAGAAGAAGAAAGTGTCGTCCTCCTCGTCGTCTCACTTGCAGGTAACTGCCGCCATGTACTAACTGCCGTCGTGGTCCTGTGCAGGTCGCCGACGTGGAGCACGGCTATGGCGCCCAGGTAAGTACCGCCGACGCAGGTATGGCCTCCACCCCTCTGCCCGCCTAGATCTCTACCTCTACTCCAGCATAGCGCAGTAGCGCTGGTTCAGCAGCGTGTCGCCCAAAGAAGTGGGCTACTCCAACTCTCCTGTTCGTCCTGGCCTGGCCCAACTATAAGTAGTGATGGGCCTCGTCGGTCTGCCTCCGTGTGCCTCTGGTCCTAGGCCAAAAACGTGGCCTATTGGGTCTGGGTCCCGACTGGACGTCCAGACCCTGCCTGCTGATGCAACAGGTACGTCTGTAACTGGACGAGCACGAACCTTTCCTCAAAGGGCCCTGCCTCCTGGTGTACCCTGGCCAAGGCGCAGCCTTGGGGCCTGCAAGTCTGAAACGATGCCTGAACAAACAAAAATAAGACAGCAAACAAATAAATAAATAACTGAATGCTATCGGAAATCGAATCCTGCCCCTAGGGGCCGCCGTGGGCCTCTAAGGTGGGCGTCAAAAGGGTGCACAGCTTGGGGGCCCCTTAGCAACCGTCGGGCCCCTGAAATGGGGCCCGTGTGCAGGCGCAACATGTAAC